CTGTTTTCTTTATCTATCTTTTTTTTTGTCGCCTTTAAAAGTTATCCCTCGGCCAAGACATGTATTGAACGGGTCGACCTCCACGGGCCTGGTTCTGGAATCGGCTCCTGTTCTTTTTTTTTTGTTTTTTTTTTTTGTTTGTTTTTTCCAAGTTGTTTCCTATCATCTTCCGTTTGAGATCTTCATACGTCTCATATTTTTCCATATTGAATTCAGAATGTCAGTTCATGGGCTCAGGAATCGTTTGGATAACCGCTGGGCCAGGTCATCATTCTGCTGCACAGAAGCGTCGGACTCAGCGAGTTTCACCAACATGTGCAAACTTTCGGAACAATCGTAGTTCAGGATCAAATCGATACACCTTCGCCATTTCCCTCTTGACAGGGCCAAGCAACATGTAAGCAATGCCAATTGCATGTTGTGTCACAGAGGTGGTCACTATTGACAGTTTTATTTCCTCCAGTTTCGTTCTTACGAGTTCCATGAATTCCAGCATTTTGCTGCTCACTGCGCCTGCATCGCTTCCATACTGAGGCGACCAATCAGCATTTTCACCAGGCAACGTTTTGACGTTTTTCCCGGGAAGTTTCGCTTGTATCATTCTTTTTGCCATGCTTCACGCGTGATGTGTTTCGATCGTGATTTGTTTCGCTCGTAGATCGCTTGATCGTTCCTTGTTATTTCGGCTCGGCTACCGTGAACATAGGAAACACTCTTTGGCTTGGGCTTGAGGCTTAACCGCTGCGGACATGCTGAGGCGCGGGCAGGAGGAGGAGGAGGAGGAGGAAGGGGAGGAGGAGGGAGGAGGAGGATGATGATGAGGAGGAGGAGGGGGACGAGGATGATGATGATGATGATGATGATGATGGTGATGATGATGGTGATGATGATGATGATGATGACGATGATGATGATGATGATGATGATGCGGCTGCTGATGATGATGCTGATGCTGATGCTGATGCTGATGATGATGATGACGATGATGCTGATGCTGATGCGGATGCCGATTCTGATGCTGATGATGACGATGATGATGATGTCGATGATGATGATAATGATGATGATGATGATGATGATGATGGTGATGATGATGATGATGATGATGATGATGATGATGAGGTTGATGATGATGATGCTGATGATGGTGATGATGATGATGATGCGGCTGCTGATGCTGCAACTGCTGATGCTGATGCTGCTGATGATGATGATGCTGATGATGCTGATGCTGATGATGATGCTGATGATGATGCTGATGGTGGTGATGATGCTGATGATGATGATGCTGCTGATGATGATGATGATGACGATGATGATGATTATGATGATGTTCATGCTGATGCTGATGCTGATGATGATGATGCTGATGATGATGATGATGATGATGATGATGATGATGATGATGATGATGATGATGATGATGATGGTGGTGTGTGGTGGTGGGTGATGATGATGAATGATGATGATGATGATGATTATGATGATTATGATGATGATGATGATGATGCTGATGCTGATGCTGCTGATGATGATGATGGATGCTGATGCTGATGCTGATGCTGATGATGATGATGATGATGATGATGATGATGCTGATGCTGATGATGATGATGATGATGATGATGATGATGATGATGATGATGATGATGATGATGATGATGATGCTGATGGTGATGATGATGATGGTGGTGATGATGATGATAATAATGCTGATGCTGATGATGATGATGATGATGATGACGATGATGATGCTGATGATGATGATGCTGCTGATGATGATGATGAGATGATGATGGTGATGCTGATGATGTTGATGCTGATGATGCTGATTGATGATGATGATGTTGATGCTGATGATGATGCTGATGATGATGATGATGATGATGCTGATGCTGATGCTGCTGATGCTGATGATGATTATGATGATGATGATGATGATGATGATGATGATGATGATGATGATGATGATGATGCTGATGCTGATGCTGATGATGATGATGATGATGATGATGATGATGATGATGATGATGATGATGATGATGATGATGATATGATGATGATGATGATGATGATGATGATGATGGTGATGATGATGAGGAGGAGGAGAGGAGGAGGAGGAGGAGGAGGAGGAGGAGAGGAGGAGCGGAGGAGGAGGGAGGAGGAGGAGGAGGAGGGAATAGGATGACGAGGAGCAGGAGGACGAGGAGGAGAGGAGCAGGAGAAGGCAGGAGGAGGAGGAGGAGGAGGAGGAGGAGGAGGAGGGCCGACGGCGGCGCTCGCAGCAGCAGGGAGGTGCGGGCAGAGGGGGAGGAGAGAGGATGTGTCGTCCGATGGCGTCGCTCGCAGCAGCAGGGAGGACGAGGGAGGATGGAGGACCATGCTGGACGATAACGATCGGGGAAGATGGAGGCGGATTGAGGAAGAAGGGGGAGGAGGAGGAGGCGGAGGAGGAGGAGGAGGAGGAGGAGGGAGGAGGATGAGGGGGAGGAGGAGGAGG